GGGGGGGGAGGTGGGGAAGGGATTTAGGTATGACAAGATACCTTCAGGATAATATTAAGTCATGTACCTACCACATTGTTCAAGGCCATACTGATCGGGAAAATTGTGAATGTGATTGGGGATGCCCACGGGAAGATTAGTATCTTTCTGTGCTCTTATTCGGTGTGTATTCCATACAGTCTCACGAAAGACATCTAGCTCTTTTTGAACCAGTGGTACCATAACAAATGCCAAAAGCAGCCTAACAGTTTACAAAAAAGCAGTTAGAAAAATGTACATGTATGACTATATGCATAACCAGGGGCTTCATTAATGGAGGACAACTGGTTTTCTTAGGCAGCCAAAACTTTTTGAATTGAACTTCTTTTCCGGAAAAACGGTCCTCTAAATTGTCAAATCAGGAAGACCAAACCAACTTCTCAGCTGGTCAATTTGCCTGGTGTCTGGCCCTTAACAAAACCCCTGCATAACCAGGTGACTTGTTGGTGTTTCAGCTATTTTGCCAAATTAATAGCAAATTCACAACAATCACAAGTCACAATCGCAAAAATCACAAATTTGTCAGCAAAAAATGAGGCAATGGGATCAAGAGGCCAAGATAATTTTTTCCAACTGATTTTTGAGCTGCATGAGCAAATAAAGTTGCAAGCACTTGAGTGAGTGGTCTTACTCATGTTCTAATCAGCTGAAAGACAAAAATAACGTCCTAAAGCAACCATGGAAGTGAAGTAAAAGTTGCTATCGCCAAGTAATAGTGCAGACATATATAACAGTCATGTCAAATTGACAATTAAAAATAGCAAATAAAGAACACTGGTTGTTCTAAGCTTGTGTACCTGTCTGTATCACTATGAGGATTGTAATGGCCCTGGTCCTTCAGCCAGGCTAATTGGTCTTTAAAGTACTTCTCCATTCTCTCATGCAATTCTTTCCACCACCTCTCTATCTAAAAATAAGTAAATTGTATGTGATGTCATGGATAATGTTTCTTAATATTTTCTTATTTTAACTAAATAATAACCATTCTTGGCACACTTAAAATACCTGTAGACTTCACGTTGCATTAAATTTTGAGGATCACTTCTCTTCTGAAGTACAGTCACAGAATTTCAATTTTCATTGTTTAGCTGTTATGAAAAGGTTTCTGAATGTGTTATTACATTCGGGTCAACATATTGCTCACCGCCAGTTTGTCTACAAGGGGGCCATTATGGGGAAATATCAATACAGTGGTGAAAGGGTCCCCTAGGTAGCAATGTGTGTGGTGTTGGTCAGTGTTACACACCTGATTTGAAGTTGAAGGGCCATACACAACAGTATTGTGTGGATCCATATCTCCATGATGTCGGCGTAAGAAGGAATGTATAGTGGCCATAGTACCGGTCTCAGTTCCCTTGTCAACTCTAAGTAACGCGGGTATAACTTTCGTTTGAAGTAGGTGTTCCAGATACCATTTTCCAATTAATTGTGGATCGGAATTTGTAATCCAAACTTTTAGCCAAAGCAGCTTCCTGCTTGCAGTATCCATGCAACCATATACTGCTAAGGGGAAAGTGGAGTTTTGGTAACCCATGAGTTTGTCATGGCCATCTAAAGAGTGGACCCAGTTGGCACCCCGAGTCGTGAAGTTTCCTTTCCTTCGTTCTTTCTTAGCTCCAACACCACCGCGCGCTTCGAGTCCTTCTGGGTCCAGTTCGTACATAACATCATAAACTTTGTCTCTCGTAACATTAAGCCCATATTCTTGTCTGATCTTCTTATGCATTGCTCGGTAACCTAAGAGCTGACCGGGGCCTTTCAACTCGTTCTCGACAGCCTGCGTAACATCATCAACCCCAACGCTAGTGTTATTGTAGTAAATTTCGAAGTGACGAAGCCTCCTGTCAAGGCTCCGGATGCTCCACGGGTATTGTGGAAAATCACGTTTCAAAAAATCCAAGATTTCTGATCTTTGCAAACTTTGCTGCACATATCGAGACATAGCGTCCTTAAGATTATCATCATGGACCCAAGATGCCATACGACCGTCCGCCATTTTGAAAGATTTGGTAAACGTACGTATGGCGTGATGGGAAGATTAAATCTCGCAAGGTACGCTGGTAGTGGCAGCGCTCGGCCATGCCAAAATTGATTTTACTTTGCAATCGAAAGTGAACGTAACTTTTGATATGGCCGAGCGCTGCCACTAATATTGTTTTACATTCTTCTTTAAAAACATATTTCATTTCAGTTTACCTACACTTTGNGCAATCGAAAGTGAACGTAACTTTCGATATGGCCGAGCGCTGCCACTAATATTGTTTTACATTCTTCTTTAAAAACATATTTCATTTCAGTTTACCTACACTTTGCCCTCTGTTTCGCTAGCATTGTGCTTTAATAATGCTTTAACTTTAATTCTGAACCGTGTTTGACTTTGCTGCGCACTTGCATTTCGTTTTACGTTGGCTTTCACTTTGCTTTTTATTTGCATTTTATTTCACACTTACAAGTAATTATAGTTTAATTTCCATTTTACTTTTATTTTAAATTAGCATCTGTTTTGTATTCCAAATCAATTTATTTCTAATTGATATCGTTATTTTGAAGTAAAATACCACCAAAAAAATTAGTGGCAGTCCTCGGCCACCATAGACATGCACTTGTAGACCAACTTACAGTTGTAGCAAGTAAATCACCTTACATCAATGTGGACTATGAATATAAATGTGGTCCTCGGCCATCTCAGACGCCTTTTGTGCCAATCTTTTTTATTATAGCACATAGTAAATTATAAATTTCAATGTTATACCCGTTTTATGAAAAAATTTCAAATCTAATCATTTCGTTGGAAACATGTACTTGTAAATCAATTAACGCCATGAGCTACCGAACAACGACTTGAGCGTCAAGGCAATTATTTTTTCTTAGGACCTTAAACAAAGAAAGACCCTCACTGGATTTTACATTGCTAATAATATACATGAAAAAATTACTCGATTCTGATTGGCTGAGAGCAGTGCAGTTCAGGTGTAACGCCAGTGCAAAAAGTGTAACACCAGTGCAAAACGTGTAACACCAGTGCAAATTACACAACGTAATTCTAGATTATGATTGGCTCAAAGAAAATAGGAAATTTTCTAAGCCAATGATATCACGTAAAATGATGGCCAAAATTTAGTGCGGAAACTTTGAAAAAAGTTTACTCGAATGAGAAAAAATGGCTTCAAGGAAGATCTTCCGGCATTTCCTCCACGCGAATTTTTTTCATGTTAATATCATTAATAAGTGATCATACGGTTTTTCTCGTTCAATTTGGAATTAATTAGCACTTGTGAGTTTTTAAAAAACTCACAAGTGCAAATTAATTCCAAATTGAACGAGAAAAACCGTATGATTACCTATACTTATATTTCTTAAGAAACTTACGCAATAATTTATTTCGCAATGAATATATTATCCAGCTCACCCACGAAACTCTGACAACCAAGTTACGGGATGATCGCGGACGATTTTCATGTTCTTCCATTTTCAGTCCTTCCCTCCTTCGTTAATATTCCTTTCTGCTCTTGGGCTGTCTAAAGGCACCAGGAAATGTGCCTTGAAATAGTTCATCTTGAACTCAGCGGTCCCTGTGACTGTCATGATCAATCATGATCATTGCTTTATTTTAACTGCGAGTAAAATCACTCCTTTAGGCACAGTGGGCACTCTTAGCCAGACGTTTGTGCAGCGTTGTCTATGAATGTAAATATACATAGAATCCCAACTGCCGGAAGGCTAAATTTTTAGCCATTCACAAAGTCTGGACAAGTTTGAATCGAAATAAGGGAGCTCAGATGCAGCTAGTAGCAGGGAGTAACATTTGAACCCTAGACCTCCTGATTAAAAGTGGAGAGCCCTAACGACTTACTTAAATAACTTAAATTACAGACTTTCGGTTAACACATTCACTAAAGCCACAAATAATGCCCACAACTGTCTGAAGAAAATGCTAACCCGTAGTTTTCTGGCTACTCGACTTAAGTGTAAAAGTTCCAGAGATTGGATTGCTGCAAAATGGCGCGTAACAGGATATAAACTATGGTCACCGAGGAAAATGTTGTTTTCCATCAGAGTACATGTAAAGTTCTGGACAGGGGTACATTAGCCCTTCATTGCCACAAGTAAAGGCAATTAACATATAAATTAATTACAACAGGCACCTAAAATTTCATGTTAAATAACAGCTTTTTGAGTATTACGAACATTTGAACACGTCTTCCATCATACCTTAATGTACATATACACTGTATAGAGAGACCAATGCAAGCTGAGAAGCTGCTGAAGAACACCTTCGGAGTTTACCATCATCATCCGCAGCTCATACAAGCTTAAGGGTCTCTGAAATCAAGAGGCTAGGCGTATTTCGAGGTATTCTGGTTTCAAATTTCTCCTCTTTGTCGGAATCAACAGGATAATGGCAAATAGAAGATCGGTAAAATGAAGAACTGCTACAAAAAGTAGATCACATTCGTCAAAGAGATCTTTCGATAGGTGTGGTCTGAAGGGAAATGAAAGGGTGTAACATGCAACAAAAAGAAATTGACTTATAATTTAGGCGTTTATGACTTTCGATTAAAAACTGTTGGTAACAAATTGGGCCATTCTACTTGAAAAACTCCAGATCCAACCTAAACTTTCATCATAATTGCTCCTCATCCATGGGGATATCGTCTCAACTATGTCAGTACTTCTGGACATCGAAGTCCAAAAAGACAAAAAAAAATTAACAAACAAAAAAACAAAATTGACTGAACAAAAATAACGTGGAATGAGAAATCGTATTCTGGGACCACCTTCTGCAAACAAGATGTCACAGGCTTCCCAGGTTTATTGTTTTTGGATCATTTACTATGAGAACCAACAGCTGTGTTTTACACTTGAAAACAAACACGAAAGATGGAACTATGAAAATTGTCTTCCACAAAAACATACTTTGTCCGTGCCAAAAACAGTCTCCAAATCAATAAAGAATGACACTAACCTTCTACTGATTTTCCCCTCAATCTGCCTCTTTGGCAGCTATCATATCTTAAGTGTGTTACATGTATTTGCTAATTTAGCGCTGGCAGATTCGTCTCTTTATATTTACTTTAAGACAAGTTCACCCTTCTTTAAGTCTTCAATACCTTTTCTGAGAAAATCTTACTTCTTTTAAGTCAAAGAATTTGCTTCTTAAAATGTTTTAAGAAAATTATGCTTTTCTGGCTGGGAACTTATCTGTATAGTCAACGGTATCGACGAAGAATTACTGAAGGGTAAACATCGACGCATTAACAAATAGAAGTTTGACTCAAGGGTCACTTTTACTTCAAAATCCCAAAGAAAATGTTTCTTTTAAAGCTATAGAACTTTCGTTAAGCTACAGGTTGTGAACACTGCGTAATTCTAGATCTTGACCCTGAGCAACCAAAACGACGTGCCTCATTCTGCGCTTTCTGTCCTTGATTTGCGGTGTTTCAACTTGATTGCAAACTGACCGTTTTTCAGAGCGGCGCGATAGGCAAGGCCAAATGAACTTTTTCATTCCTTGACGATAATTTTCGCTGAACCCAAGGTAAATGGCCGGATTTACTGAAGACTGGAGATATGCCAAATACAATGCACACTCCCCGATGATTTCCACACCACAAGGCACTTCTACGTCCCTGTTAATCCAGACTAAAGTGGCTACGTAAGTTAAAATTATAAATGGGAACCAGCAGAAACCAAAAGCGATTACCACTGCAAGCAACATTCGAAGCACGTTTCGGTTACGCTTTTGTTGACGCCTTCGTCCTATCGACCGAACATCGTCTGGAACAGATATCCGTCTGATTCTGACAAGGATTGTTGTATAAAGAGCAGTTACAACGATGAATGGAACTATCACGGACAGAATTGTATGCAGGAAAAATTCTATTTCCCACGCTTTGAGTGGATCTTCAGCCAGTTGCTCCCAACTGTGATGGCAAATTGGGCCTTCCACCTCGATGGATAACTTAAAGGTCCAGAAACGCGTTGCATACATAAGAAAAGCCATCAGCCAGGTAAAAGCTATCATGAATCCACATCGTTTCCGTGGAATGGGATTAGCAACGACTGGACAAGAAATTGCGTAGTAACGTTCAATGGCAATCATCAGAAGACTCAGTAGCGACACAGCTACAGTGACGTCTTGGAAAAAGTGCATGATTCTGCACAAGGCGTCACCTACTGCTCCTGTAATTAACCATGCAGCTGGGTAGGTGAATATCTGCGTGATAATTTTTGGAATAACGATCAGAGTGCACAGGCAATCTGAGACAGCCATGTTGACGATCAGGAAGTTCACGGTTGTTCTCATTCTCCGTTCTTTGTGTACCACAATAACAACCATTGTGTTACCCATGGTAGACGTTATGAAGATGACAGTGCAGACGACGACTTTAACAATTTCTACAGATCTGTGATTAAGATAATCATCGCATGTGGCGTAAAAACCGGATTCATTATCACTCCTGTATTCTGCGGTATTGTTATAAGACATCTTCGCATAACTCTTTGCCACGTTAACTCGGGAACTGATTTGAGTAACAAAGATATCGCAAGAAACTAGATTTACGTTGAAGGACTTTAAAGGCCAAAAGGACTGCTTTTCTTGTAAACCGATTTGCATAAAATATTGCAAACAGGACAGAGCACAATGTAAACCAATCAAAAAGAAGCTTGGCTTTGTTAGCATTACACAAACGTGGTGAAATTTAATCGAGATTTGGCAGATGCTACCGGCCTTATTAGCTAACATTTTTGATATTTCCGATATTTAATATCGCCCAAGATAGCAAGTTCTAGTTTAATCTATTGGAAAATTTAAGGGTTGACCTTTCCAATCTATACTGTTTTCTTTGTTTGGTTATTCCGGTTCCTTTTTAAATGCAAATAAATCGGGTTTCACAAAGGTATCGGCGACCAAAAAGTTGATTGTGACATTTCAAGGGTGAAGCGACGATCCGTATTAACCGTCAAATAAACGGTGCAGAAAGTCCCTGTAAGTCAAGGGCCATTTCTCATGATTTCTATTCTATGCGAGTCAATTCAGTTTAGAATGTCACTTTCGCTCTCCGGCACTCCGACTCTTTATCAACTCGTTGTAATAGAAAACTGACCAAGAAATACGAGCGAAGAAGGTTATCTTATGATTTTCCATTTTAAAGAACAAAAGCAAAACGTAAATTAATCATCATGAAGGAAACCCAATTCCGCGCTATCCTGTCGTTTTGTTAAAGCATTGGTAGATAAATTGAAACGTAAGTTATAGCATTTGAGATGCCACACTTTGCCAGCTGACGTTAAGCGTGATATTGATATTCAGGAAACACCGCTGCTAATACCGCGACATCCGACATTATTAAAGTTTGGGCAGCAATGCGATGATTAATTGCCTACTATCAAGGCCTTGGGTGACAAATAACTCCTTAATTTTGGCGCGAAATTACCGCGTTAATTTATAATTTCACTTGTGAAATTACAAAATTGCCATGGCAACGTTTGCGCGAAATTTCTCAATACAATAAACATGATAAAAAACAATGATTGAAGGGGTAATTTGTCAACCATGATATTAAAATGTAATCAAGTGGTATATCCGTGAAATTATTTCCTAGTTTTACTCGTCATCATTCAATGACCCATGTAAATTCACCTTAGGCGTGCCCTGTGACATAAATTCAGAAGAGGTAGCTCATGTGAATGAAGAACTTGATCATTTTCGGATAAAAAATTTTGTTAAATAAGCCTGTGTCATGATAATGTTTATGTGCGACTCTGATTCACACCGTTTTAGTGGGAGGTTTTTTCTCAACTATCGTGCGACTCAGTACCACGGGCCACCCGGAGATGATTTACGCTCTTCTCAAGTGGTTTCATCATTTATTACATCCAATTTGAAAGCACCGGTGATCCTTGCAATCTGATTGGCTCGTAGCAGTGTGATTTATTCACGAATCGCAACATTTTTGTTCTAAATCGCATCTTCTTCCCAGCCAATGAGAATGAACGCTAAAACAAACCAGCTAATCAGATTTCAAGGCCTTTTAAAGTAGCCAATGAAATCGCAGGAAAGGCAGTGCGATTTATTCACGAATCACATTATATTTTGCTCTTAATTGCATCTTTTTCTGTTTTGCAGACAAAATGAGATGTGAAAGCGTTTCCAATTCTGCTTTTAAAAAAAAAAAAACAAACAAACAAACTTGCGGATTAAATTGTGCGAAGTTCCAACACCGGGTTACCCCCAGCATTACATTTACACTGTATACACCTTGGGTGGAGAGAGGCACTGAGAGAGTGAAGAACTTGCCAAGGAACACAACACAATGACCCCAGCCAGAAGTGAGACTGCCCAGCCTGGAGTCCAGTGTGCAGACCATCACCCCAGTGTATTCCTGCCAAAATGTCTCCTACAGTTTTGAGAAGTACGGTTTAAGATAATCTTTCTTTCAAATTATAGCATACATGTACAGTGTATTTTTTATGCTTGTAGAATGTTAGACAACGTAGTAATGTAAATTTCCATTTGTGGTGAAATCATGCTTTAAAAATACATGTAGCTGTACTATTATGTAGTTAAAGTTAGGCCACAGATGTCCCACTTGAACCTCAAGTTTGTCAACAACGTTTCATTTTAAAATTCTTAATCACAGCCATTCTTTTTTTCCATTGTGTTTGCTGTTACAGTAAGACTTTGTGGTGAGCACTTTTTTCCCTATATATATATTTTCACAATAACTTTCTAATTTCTCGTGCGCTGATTGGCTCATTTTTATCATCAATAAGAGTACAGACTTATAAAATTTTAATTCGTGCAAGCTTTCAAGTTCAACTTTCAGCTGTCAAACTGTCAACGTTTTAACTAATGAGATTTTATGGACTTTTTTAAGTAGCCAATAATCAAAAAGCGGGAAAGCTATTGGCAATGTTTGCGTCATTTTGAATAAAATCCACTTATCTTTGTTTATGGCGTCTTTTCCCCTCATTTATTCCAGGCATTTGACCATGTTTGGGTCTTGTTATTGTAAAAAACAAATTGATGTCAGTTTTTTATACGTCTGTCCTCTTACAGATGATACATTTCGTCATAACATTGTCAGAATTTACTACGGAACAACTCGCCTGCAGCTCGTGGTTCCACAGCCACTTTGACAATGTTATGACACAATTTATCATCAATAAGAGGACAGACGCATAAAAACTGATGTCAATTTGTTAAATGTACAATGCTGGTAGACACATTTATCTACCAAATACAAGAGGGAGGTACATGTAGCTGTTTCTAAAATATCTAAAGCTACATGTACTCAGCTTTTCCCAACCTGATCAACCTGGATACAGTAACTGAGGGAAGATAAAGTTAACATCATCTGTGAAAGATCTGCATGGCTCATACTAGAATCATACTACATGTACCTTGAGTTACTGAGAGTCAACACAACAACACATGGGCTTCATTCGTTCAGATAATATGTTGCAAAAAGATGGGATGATTTAGATGAATGAGTCTGAGCTCTCTATAATTTTAAAAATTTAAAGACATGATATTTGTATTCAGATTTTCAGAATTCTTGTTGTCATCATTGTTAATCAGTCTTATTAAAATGCAATTTAGTGACTTAACCTTGTCTTTTTAATTTATCTTTGTTTTTCTGTTCAGAGATATTTAGTTCCACTTAGTACTAACATGCTACTCGGTAAACTAGATGTATGTACACGGCTATTTTAGGCAGCTAACACCTACTGCACACATACTTTCATAAATAGGTTTAATTAAATATTGTGCAGTTCCAGAAAATCCATACTGGTACAGAAGGGATTAGAATTTGCTGGGAGGTGGGGAGGTGGGGGGGTGGGTGGGTTCTGGAAGATCCAGAACTTTAAAGAAATGTATGAAGCTTAAATGGAATTTCTTCTGTGGGGGAGGTATGGATATTATCTGGAACTGCACATTGCAAATTTTGTGTCGATATTTAATGTTGTATTATTTTGTTATTTTGAGTTTTTGTTCAACGTACATGACAATTTCACACCCGATAAAAAAATGACTGGGCGATTTCTCATGAAATAGCCTAATGAATCATGAAAGAAATTTACTACACATGTAAATAAAAACTGCTGTCAAAATACACGCGTACATGAAAAGTTATTGTGCTTATTGAATTATTTTATTTTCTGTACAAATGTGGATTAATATCTAGTCTTACAGCTGTATGTTTGTTGCTGTGATGAGCTGTTTTCTGTACATGTAGGTGGTACTGCACTTGCAAGTGATTCTTCAAGATGTGATTTGCCATACCACAATGAGTCCAATTAATAGTAAAAATGTTGTGCCAACAAAACCACGTTATTTAGTGTATTTTCTTATCTGAAAAAGCGTACTCCTGTACCACCTCCTAAGTGTTTTCAACAGAAACTCGACACCTGCCCTTCCATTCTAGGTGAAACATGAGGTTCATGTGAATGTAATTTCAGACAAAATTGGTACCTGTTCATATATCTCCTGGATTTGGATTCCTTTGGTTGGCATCTCTGTAAAAGCAAACCATTGATGGAATCATTATTCCAACCTGCTGTGTGTGATAAAAATTTTGTTCTATTAATTTTATTTTCTTACAAATCTATGTTGGACAAATCTGAAGATCAGCCACAATTTATATTTGGGTACCACATGCACAGTATGCTACTCAAAAACAGCAATGCTCATTCTAAGCATTCATGCTCATTCTAAGCTGCACTATTTTCTTTTTAAATCTGCTCCTGAAGTCATTCTGAAGGAAAACAAATCAAAAACAAATAGGGACACCTAAAAGTTAAGATTGGGGATCATTAAAATAAAAAGGAGGGATCTACATACAACATTGGATGAGCTAGGACCAGTGTAATTATCTCAAGCGTATTTGTGGAAGTACATGTATTTATTTAAAAATCATAAAATTCAATAATACAATACAATACAATAACTTTATTTATATAGTGAGTATATACAAAGCTCTATATCGCCTTGCAGTCATGAAAGTAAAACTAAATATAATAATTTAAACTAAATTAAGGATAAACTTTAAGATAGAAATAATCATCTGAAAGCAATTCTGAAAAGATGAGTTTTTAGACACGATTTAAACACGGCGACCGATGGACTGAATTTATGTTACGCAGGGAATAACAGTTTTGGCAGCTGTAATAGCCAGTAGCAACTTATGTATATGGATTTTGAAAGTGTGAACAGAGGGAAGATTTCTGAGATTTTCTGGCAGCAGTTCCCAAAAAGAAACTACAGAAGTGAGTTGAAAGCACAAACTGTATACGAACTACAGCTCAGTAGCTATATGGCCTTCCTCTGCATTTAAGTTTAAGATTATAATCTTTTCAAAATAAAGCAGCTCAAAATATATTGCTTTTAATGCACCGCTAATTTGCAAGGTGCATAATTATTACGGTAATCACACAGACACCTCCCATGATTTTTATTGAGGTCTAGTGAGGATGCAGGCGTCTTTATGCTGCAGCAGCCTGTATACCTGTACCTTTAAGCGCAAAGATTAAAACAGCACATTTTCTTTGTAAATTTCTAAGTTTCCCATGTTTCTTTCTGTGCATTTTTCTGTTATATGAAATGTTAGTATATTAATGCCTTGATGACACATTCCGCGATCCGTTGCGATAATCCGATCCAGGTTGACCTCCACTTGCGCTCGATTAGACGTGCGTGAATTCGAACTTAATCTAGCCTGTCTAACCACTGGCATCCAGCATCACCCAGATGCTCCTTGAATGCCTCGGACTCAAGATTCTTCACGCGCTACTTCGCGTCGAGAAAGGCTGTGAACGCTCTAAACGCGAATTGCGTTCGAGCGATTGTCTTTCGTAAGACTGGTTAGGCATATAATCGGATATAATTTGACAATTCATAATGCTGCAAATTGTTGGGATAAACAACACACGGGAAAGTTAATTGTCCACATCTGGTCACCTACAGTAACAGTGCAGTCCAGCGGAACTCAATTTTACACCGCACATGTTTTAAAATGAGCTGAACCAGAAAGCCCGGCACCGTACAAAGCAGCAGAAAGCAGCCCTGCCAAAATTCTGCAGCATTCAAATTGGCTGTTGGCGACATCGTTAATGTTAGCTTGCAAGTCAGAAAACAAATGAAATTAAGATTTCTACACACCTGAATAACCAGTGTCTTTCGGAATCACGGCTATGGCCACGGCTTTAAAATGGTAGAATCCGGCTTCCCACGCGACTGTTCACAACATCCGCCATATTGAACACCATGTAACTGCGAGGGTCTGAGACTGAATTCGTTTTCAGTCCTCTCGCTGAATTTGCTAATGTGGCGGAAATTTTGAACGTTCATTCAACGTCGAGGTAAAAAAAAAAAAAGTTGTCCAGAGGTCACAAAGCTGATCATACGGCGTATTACTCTTCATTCTTACAATAGAAACGGAGTAAACGTTACAGCAGCTCCCTAAGTATGGCATTTCAGTTCACAATGGAAGATTTATACCATGCTTGTGCCTGTTTGATGCAGTTGTTTCGGCCAATATCTGTACCAATTGTGGCAATTAAAACAGAAAATATAGACAACTTCAAATAGATACAAAAGCGATATATATTCAGGTTTTTGTTTGTAGAATAGCGTGGACTATACGCATGCGTGCAGCAAGCAATTGAAATTTCAAACAGGTGTTTTTTTTCTTTATACCTTTAGTAAGAGTCCCACGGCAAATGAACTAAATAAAACGGCATCGTGAACCTAGCTATAGACGTGCTCGCTTAACGGCAGCACATATATTAAAATTGGAACGATACAGAGAAGATTAGCATGGCCCCTGCGCAAGGATGACACGCAAACTCGTGAAGCGTTCCAAATTTTTTTTCATTTACAATTTGAAAACTAAAGTACCGGCGTGAAACTATCTATTTAGACTATTTTCATGTTGATTTCGGCAAGAGGAACAATGACTATCACCTCCCTAGCCATATTTTCTAACTTTACAACAAGGCAGTCTTGCACAGCCTCTACCGTGAATTTTCAACAGCTATATAACTAACACAAATTAACCTTAACATCTATGCCTAATTCATTCAACAGGCAAAGGGAAGGTAAAATAAGATTTGCGGCGAAGGAAGATAGCGCGGGAAAGCTCACAGACGTTTAATCTACGTCACAACTCCATAACCGGCGGTTTATAGTTTGACGCAGCATAGTGCATCATCTCCGCATGTGTTACGCACGCGTGAAGAAAGATCTTTTTTATGAAGTTTATGAAATAAATGTGAACCTGGTGCTCATCGCTTGCAAATGGAAGAGAAATCTAGCACCCGTACGGTGATGCTCTAAAGCTGAAATTGAACCAGCGCAGGTTCAAAACAAAGAAGAAATTAAAAGAAATGGCTGAGCCTATCTGCAGGAACTGCCCACCAGCTGTCCAGGTAAACCAAGCATTCAAAGGGATAGTCATCTCCTGGGAAACAGCGGATGAACTTGAACACTCAACACTTAAGTTGGTCTTAAACCTTCAAATTTAATTGTACAGAAAACAATTTTTCAGAAACGTGAAGATTCAACATTTTTGACCACTTGCAAAACATATTTTGAAACAATTTTGCTCTAATTGACCCTTGATTTAAGTTTAAATTAAAAAATCTGCAAACTGGTAGCTCCATTTCAACATAGCAACGCCAACAGCAACGGTTGTTTACAGTCAAAAGTACTTACAAAATGGATTCAATTTAGTATACTTTAATTATGTTTCACATAAAAGCTTTAAGGATGTGTGCTTACGAGAATTTTTCATCATGGTCCTGAATACTGTTTCTTTTACCGTCATAAACGCCCCTAATACTTGGTTAACATTTCTATGACTGGTGTGTATTCAGGTATTCAATGGAACATTTATGTAAGTCCTTTCGATATGCCCCCCCCCCCTCGCTTCTACCTCCCACCCCCGGTAACAGGGCTAATTTGGGTTCTCGGAGACCGAAGTAAAACTTTAAAGCTTTACTTATTGAGACCAAACAGACAGATAGATCACCAATATTTCAAACACGATATCTTTATTGGATTTTAACCGAATGTTGTGGAACTTTCAAGATTGGCAAAGGACAAATTATCCAGGTCATGAATGAATAAAATTTTCAATTTATGAAATATTTGCACTGTTATTCGGTTAATATAGTTAATATTAGTAAACTTTTTCCCATTTTCGAGAAAAAACCTCAAAACACTGTTTTCAGAGGTTTGCATCCTGGACAACGGAAGGTGGAAGGCGGAAGGCGGTAGGCGGAAGGCGGAAGGCGGAAGGCGGAAGGCGGAAGGCGGAAGGCGGAAGGCGGAAGGCGGAAGGCGGAAGGCGGAAGGCGGAAGGCGGCAGGCGGAAGGCGGCAGGCGGCAGGCGGCAGGCGGCAGGCGGCAGGCGGCAGGCGGCATGCGGAAGGCGGATGGCGGAAGGCAAAAAGCAAAAAGAAGAAAATAGAAAATTAAATGAGAATGAATTGAATAAGCAATTTATAAGCATACGCGTGCGCGATGACGATAGATAGGACTTTGATAAAACGTTTTAGCTGTCAATCAGTTATAAGACAGTGTATGATGGAACCTTGAAAAGTATTCGCTTGTAAGGTTAACGTTATAAAATACTCGGAAACGTGCTCCCATCTTCGAAGTTGATTGCATCATCAGAAAAATATGCAGAAGCTTTTTGAACTCTTCCTACATTATATTCGCGCCAGCCACCTCAGGATGGAAAACAAAATGTGCAAAGCGAAGATATCGATTGCACTGTGAACAGTTCCCAGTTTGATTTGAACGAGATGATGTAAAATCATTGCATCCCATGAAGTCTCTTATAGAAGTCACCCGCGCTTTACATTATAATTATTCTAAGAAATAGAAAACATTTTCGGTGTTCCTATCGAGTTATGGAGACACGATTGAAAGTTTGGGAGAACGAGAAATGCTGTGGGAACAGGAGTGGACAGTTGAGTGTTACCACATCTGACTGCGCTATGCTGTTAAGAGTCATTATTAGGCTGTGTGACTGCGGTATTCGGTTCCAGCCAAAGACCCACATTTTTACCTTTGCTCGTGATAGTCTCCAGTTGCTCCGTGGCTAGAACATCTAGCTAGATCACGGAGGGGCGTGGGTTGAAATCCCATCTGGAGCTCGGATTTGTTTTCAGAGTTGCTGCTATTTCTACAATAATTAATTAGTTCTTTAATTTCAAACAAGACGTCTGCATGTGTAAGATTTCTTATTAATAAGAAGGCAGAGTCAAGTTGTCACAAGAAAAGTGTTAATTTGAAACATCTTCGCCCTTTTGTATTAATATGGAAAGTACTAATTAATTATAACAATCTATCTTAACTTGACATGATTTATAAGGTTTATAAGCTTTTAGCGTTTCGCTGAGCTATATTTTTCGTGGGACAACTTGTTTCTTTCATCTTCCGCATGAAGAAATCTTGACCCTTTAATGAAATGCAAATTACTTTCTCATTATTAAAATACTAACTTAATTGCAAACTAATGTAACCAATGAGCTTTCTGTTTAACTACTTTTTGTGCGACAACTTGTCTCTACCTTCCTCATGATTATTAAGAAATCTTACACATGCGGACGTCTCGGCCCTTGTTTGAAATTTAAAGTCCTAATTCAGTATCAACAAAAACTACCTATATTGGAAACCGGCATAATGTGTATGCCTTTTTTTAACTACTTGAGGTTTATTTGATGAAAGGGAGGCCCTATCCACACTACGCTGGAGGAATTTGAAGCGGAAAGTTTCACTTTGGACATGCACCGGTTATTTTGGTTTTGTGCTGAAGTGGTACTTTTTAAATAAAAGACAAGACAAAATAAAGCTCAATTTAGCTAAAAAGGATTCAGCAGAAGAGCTAAAAAAAGCTTAAGTCCATTTAAAATAGTTTACTTAATAAGTGCATCTTCAACATCAAAAAAGAGTCAAGAAATCCGTATGCATATAGTTTCAAATTCTTAATGATAAGAAGGTAGAGACCAATTGTCCCACAAAAAAGCAATTAAACATAGAGCCTATAAATTATGTCTCTAAAAGGAAGCTTTCACTGTCCACTGATAATTTGCGGATGCCTGTAAGGGCTTCTACTTCCTTTTTTTGTTTTCATGTTTTGTCAGTTTGTTAATTGCTTTGTATTCGTTTATATTAGTAACATAGAATATCATTACTACAGCGCGACTACTCCGATATAACGAAGACCACCTAAGGCACCCTTTTACAGATTGACCACTTAGCGTTTGTATGTTAAAATAATAAGATGAGACATAGAAAAACCCGTATAAATCACTTTACGTCAGAAGCTATCCATTAAGAAGTATATTCTTGTAGGGGAACGGGTGTTTTGAGCTAAAAGCATAAGAGCAGATTTAGTTACAAAAATGATCTAATCATAAATGTCATTTTACTTTCTGAAAAGACATACAAAGAGACCCTCTCTTTATATACAGATAAAAGAAATCTGTTGGAGTACTAAGTGGCGAGCTGTAGGTCAAGCATTTGAAGAACGAAGACCCGAGCTGTTGTAATTTTTGCTGCTCTGTTATTTCGCTCAACTTTGGCTACATTTTTTGGACATTTTGGAGATTTTCAGGCTGGATTGGGCCAAATTAGCTCCAATCTACTCAAAAAGGCATTAATCTAATTGCTTTGTAGTAATCTAACTAAACTTCCTTAATTGGGGAAATGAATTCTCAGTTAACACCCGCAGTTGTTTACAAGCGCTTATCAGGTTGTTTTTTCATCAAGTCTCGAGTTTCACAGCTAATTCATAACAGCTCTGCATATCTAATGTTGAGCTTTTAGTCTGTATACAGCCGTTTCTCTTCGTTTCCCTCGTAGAAAGACCTATCCCAAGCACGTAGAATGAGGATCCCTAGCAGCTTCTAAAATTAATCATTAAGAGAGAAGACAGTTTCATGAACACAAGGCTTAAGATGCGTGGACTAACACTGGGAACGCTGAAAAAGTCCGAAACGCTGTCGAAGAGTCACTCCTTACCACACATGACTAGCCGATAACAAATAAATTAATTACTTCTTACTAATATAAAAGAAATAGCAAGCAATCTACAATCTGACAAGACAAACAGGAAGGAAGTAAAAACCCCTGCAGGTATCAGCAAATTATTAGTTGACTATGAAAGCTTCCTTTTAGAAACGTAATTAATAGGCTCTATGTTTAATTGCTTTTTTTGTGGGACAACTTGTCCCTAGCTTCCTATCAGTAAGAATTCGAACTAATTATGCACACGGATTTGTTGACTCTTTTTTGATGTTGAAAGTGCAGGTATAAAATAAATTGTTTTAACTGGACATAATCTATAATCTTTCTATAAGCTTTTTTAGCTCTTTTGCTGAATAAGTTTTTGTTTCACAACTTGTATCTACGTTACTTTCTTTATTTACATGCGAGAAGTCTCGGCTGTAACTCTTTTAGGGTCAAGACAAATACGCCTAATCACGGTTTTCGACGCCATTTTGGCTGGTAGGCAAAATGGTCTGAAATTACAGTGTTTGTATGTTAAAATAATAACACAAGACAGAGAAAAGCTCGTGTAAAGCGTTTAACTTCAGAAGTCATTCATCAAGAAATACATTCGGATAGGGTTTCATCAAACGGACGGTTGTTTTGAGCTTACAGCAGATTTAGTTACAAAAATTAATTAATCATAAATGTCATTTTGGCTTCTGAAAAGAAATGTAAAGAGAGACTCTCTCTTTATATACAGACAAAAGAAGTCTGTTGGAGTACTAAGTTACGCGCTGTGGACCTGCTGAAGTATATGAAGAATGAAGACCCGAGCTGTTGTAGTTTTTGCTGCTCTGTTATTGCTCGCAACTTTGGCTGCCGAGAGTGATGCCTTCTCCGGTAATAAACTAGGAAAAAGAGAATTGGAAGAAAAGGTTAGACAGCATTAATGTTTTGTCTTTCGTACAGTTTGTCGCCTCTTCTTTAGTCAATGCAGATGGGCTTTCATAGTAAGCAGGAAGGACAGGTTGGACTTTGATACTTAGATTTGTGCTCAGACTAAGTGCGCTGGTGGTTACTCTGGTAAATGACATAACATTAGTATAACTGAATGAAGTCAAGATTGGTTCGATAGGATTGTAATTTTTGAATGTTCAGAGGATTTACCACTAAAATTCCGGGAAGAAGAGAATTGGAAGGAGAGGTTTGACGTTCATCACTTTGTGGACTTTTAGACAGTTTATTTATCTTTCTTAGCAATGTAGTTGGGCCGCTTTGATAGATGTATTGAGTGAGCAGGAAAGGTGTGAACTGCTTAGAGTTGTGTCCAGGCATCGTAAATAACAGTAATGAAGTTAAGAGTGGTTAAACAGGATTGTGATTCTTGAACGTTCAAAGAACTAATCAAGAAAGAGGAAAGGGCTTTTCATGGAAACATTCTTATTTTAATAAGACGTCTGCGTTTAAGCCCTTAATTAAATAAGGTCAATGAAGATACTTTGGATTTTCAGAGGCACAGAGTGCATTGTTCAAGGGGTACACACCGAAGAGAAAGTTAATCGGGCGCCGAAGGTGCAGAAGAAGCATGTCATATTTCTTCACATGGAAACAAATTTCTTTGGAGAGAAATTGCTTTGTATTTTGTTTTATTACTATTATCATTTTTTCACCTACAGGGGAAAGAGCCGAAAAGTTGAAAAGGAGCATTTGTGAACTGGCAAGAAGCACTCGATGCGGGGGAATTGCGGGGATTAATGTCTTTGACGACTACGACAAAGGAAAAAAATGAACAAGCATACCTGGAGGGATAATCGTGATAAACTTAAATGAAAAATTTTAAAAATAATATTGTAATTTTGAGCTTTAAGTTCTAGTTTAAGACGCTGAAACGGGTAAAATATCACGTTAAAAAATGATTATGAGTAAGAAATAAAAAGAATTAACTTAACGATCGTCTCGCGTGTTTGTGTGGAAGCGTTTCTTCACGCTGCTTTATAGAATAGCTGAGATACTACGTGCACTGTGATTGGTCAAAAACGTATTTAGCAATATACCTACCTAGGAAATTTCCTTCCTGATATGCTAGAGTTAATTAAGTGGAAGGACGAAGAATTGCAGAAATTGCGTTAGTAGTAATCTAACTAAACTTCCTTTAGTTGTCGAAATGAATTCTCAGTTAACACCTACAGTTGTTTACGAGGTTGTCTCAAGTTTGGCAGCTAATTCATAACAGCTCTACATATCTAAAGTTGAGCTCTTAGTCTGTCCACAGCCGTTTCTCTTCGTTTTCCTCGAAGAAAGAGCTATCCCAAGCGCGTGGAATGAGGATCCCTAACAGC